TGCTGATGTCGTCAAACGGGCTGCACATAAACGGCTGTTCACCGGAATCCAATCAACCATCGATGACTCAGCCTTGGAGCTGAGAATGATATCTACACCAGCTTGACCCGTGAGTGCAGCATCGGCGTCTCCGGATGCGTGCAACCAATAACGAGAGGATAAGCCGGGTGCAGTCAATTCAATAACCTCGTTAGGGTCATTAATCCTAGTTTCGGACACACAAAATACATCAACACCCAGTGTGTCCAAGGTGTGTGCGAGGGCAGCCTGTTGACCTGATTGTCTTAGAGTGCAAACGTTGAATGTCGCCATGGAAACGGGACAGCGTGGCCTTATAAGGGACTTTTGCCGACAGGCGTCCGATGGGTGCTGCAGATGGTACTACTCCAGTAGCACTTCAGTTGATATCAATTAAGCTAGGAATTATAGAAGGAAGGTTAGTAATGGGGGCCGGGATGGGAGTAAGAGAAAAAGGTGGAAAAGAAAGAAGGGAGGCGCCAGCAGTAACATGTTTTCGCTTATCCGCCATGCTGTATGCAGCAGATAAGGCGATCCTTGATAATCTGCGCGACGGCCGATGCAGGTTGAAGTTTATGTTTGAATAAAATGTCATGGTTGTATATATATATATATATATATATATATATATATATATATATATATATATATATATATATATATATATATATATATATATATATATATATTCTTAACCACTTGACTCAAGCCAATCATACTGAATACCATTCATCAAAAACAAAGGCTTTTCAGACATCCGTGGCCAAGCACACAACAGCTTTTCAGCAAGCAGAATCAGCTTTAATTGTGTGAGTCGATCAGATGGAATAACAGAATATGTGCCCTGCTTTATAAGAGGATTGTTGTACCCCAACAGGGATAGTTCCATAAGATATGCGTGGTTAATCGCAGCATCAGAGCAGGTTGCGTTATCTGTACTGAGTCATGTATCGGAATAGTGACTCTACGGTTAAGTTTTGCCACCTTATCGCGAGTATGCATCAGGTTTGCTATAAAGCTACCGTAGTGGTTAAGCCCAGTACAGCCGCATAAAAATTGGAGACGTTTACAGTGTTTCAGGCCAAAATCATTGCACCGTACAAGCACACACACACCTTCAGACCTCGTACTAGTTAGCTGAGTGGTTAAAATATCATGCTAAGCTGCCCTGCAAGCAGTGTTGCTGCCCATAGCTATAAGAATTTAGTAGGTTGTTGATTGATTGTAGTTTCTAGTCTGCGCTCCGGGAAAGAATTACTTAACCTACTCACACCCAGAGCTGCAGTTGTCAAATTGCCACAGTCTCAATTTCTGCGAAGGTATCAATAGTGATGATTTATAAAAAGCCAGACATGAAGGGCAATCTTCTGGATATCTCCACAACGGTACTAGCAGCAATCCCGAAGACCCAGGGCAACGTTTATGTATACTGCAATCAATCTGATGATAAGACTGTTTCAGTCGTTGTTAAGGTTGAAAGCGAATGTCCACGGTGACAATGGACATTAACGCACCAAGTAAACTGGCCTAACTGTAAGTAGTACCGCTGAGCGCATTCTGCGTAAACTCTTTGAAAATCTTCACGATCTACCCTCTAAGGCGTTTGTTCGTCACCTATAGCGACGAGCGTCAGAGTGATTCGATCTACCGTAGCTTCGGTAGCTCGGTTACTGACAACCGATTTGGGACTGGCCTTGCTCCATCCCGGTGAGGTTGGCGGTTGTTTCACTATAACCGCGATGCTGATGAGCTAAACGGCCTTGCGCGCTCCTGCATTTTACCAATGGCATTACAATGCAAATGTTATTGTAAACAGAATAGCCTTTTCTCGTACTGTAACAACAGTTGAAGGAAATAAGCCAAATAAATGAAAGCATGCACTTCTGTTGAGTCGGTGAATTGCCGGTAACTCACTTTTATTGTCTTCTTTGCAGATCAAAGGTGAGGGAATCGGGGGAAGTACAAGACTTGTTTGATATAAATCCATTTCCAACTGTGCAGCCGTCGAATGGGGAAGGGCTTCCTCAGCTGTTCCCTAGGAAATGGAAAACAGCATTGCGAAAGATAAACAGAAGGTTCGACGTAACAGCATGTATCGCCACGATACACTGTCAGCGTAACACTCTACAACTAAGAACTGGTCTACAACGTCCTTGTCCTTGCCCGCAGCTTGTGTGTACAAAGCAGGGAGAGACCGTGCGTGATTAGGAATTATATAGCCCACTTCTCTCTTCTACTCCCCTTAAGTATGTCGACCGAGTCAATCCCGACTAGCGCTACCTATTCATTCGGCTAACCCATGATGCCAATATCGGCCTCGCAGCTTGACGAAGTGAGGCTGTACTAGTACCCGAGTTAAAAGACGAAGCCACTGAGTTGGGTTATGTGAGTGGTTGTTTCAAGGCTGATAACGCAATAGAGTCACAGGTTAATGTTGTGAGTATTGACTGGCCGCTCTGGTATTCCTACGTGTTCTAAGCATGGTAACACACCAGTTTCCGGTATAGTCTCAATTTGTGTCCTCACACTTCTTAAACAGCGAATTGCCGGATTGAAGCAATTTATCTGTGACTAGTTGTTTACAGCCTGCTAACTTGCAACCACTGATCGCTTTCATCGTTACCCACACGTAATATTAAGTAACAGTATGCCCCTTGTTCTAAAACGAGATGAGATGGCGAATTTTATCCAGATTTGTGTAGCAAGACGTTGCAACCTCATCTTTGAATTTCCATTATATAGTCATGACAGCGTTTTCTTCATAAATAAATGTGTGAGAGACTATCCGTGTTAATGAGCGATATCTCAGTTGGGTAAAGAAAAATGTCCGCTTTCGGAAGTGGGCTCACACGCTGAGTGGTCTGCGACGGTCCGTTCGATCCACCCGTTCGATCCATCCGAAGTTGATAACAAGTCACAAGCGTATTGTATAGCTATCGCAAACCACTTCAGTCACCTGCGTAAGCGACAACGTTCGTGGACTAACGGGCACTGTGGCGTCGATCACCTTCAGGTTCCCGCAGGCAGACGTGCTTTCCACATGTAACGTGTGATGACAGCTCAAGCGTGCCGTGAATCGACACTAATCATCCATACAGGGCACTATAGGCTCTACAAAGTGAACACCCACTCGCATGTAGTAAAGCAATTACAATAGAACAATGCTATATTGGTCTAATAAGAGAAGAAAAGCAAGGCTTGACTATTCCCGTATGATGGCCTAGGCGAGAAGGCAAGCTCAAAGGAAAACGTTTACGACGGTGTAAACCACGCATCACTAGGACATTCAGAGTAACGCAAATGTAAATCCACCAACCCCGATGTCATGGCGTAGGGAATAGGTTTGTATAGTGCTGGTTAACATTTTCTATCATCCGGTGAACGCGAATCTTATACCGTGATGCAACTGGTGTCATACACCCTCGATTCATTTTCGGACATGGACGTTGGACTAGAAGTGACCCAGATAGGAGGAGGAGTATAACTAACTAATTTGGAGTGGAAAATCTGATGAAATCCGGTCATCTTGTGCTGTCAGATTCCGTTGGTGGCCTTTCAGGCTGGTGTCGTGGCTAAGTGTCAGTTAACAACAAACGTCAGTAAGTCCTAGAAAACTGGTTGGTCAAAATGAGATCAACCCGTAGACGACAAGAACTTCTGGTGCAAATTCCCATGACTGTCAGTTTAGTTTGTAACAGAAAACTGAACAAGAACTTAATTCTAATCTGTGCTTGACTGCGGTGCCTTATGCCTAACTAGATCGCGATTCTGCCAGGGTTGTGTAGCTCAAATGGCGTACCCGCTACGCGGCCAGTAGTAGGGATTGAGCGGCTGTGGGAAGAGAAACGGGTCAGCTCACCCGATTACCCTCCGCAACGTCCCAATTTGTTAGTTCCCATTTTTCGACACTTTCACCTATTTCGTAGAATAGATGGGTTCATCCTGAAGCACTACACAGGGTCACGATTCTGTGGGACAGCCATCAACAGGTGGCCTGTAAGCAGATAAATGCGTTTTTGTTGAAGTTTTTAAAGCACTTTTCATTTATCCGCATTATATGTGAGTAGCTTCACCTTTGACATTTCAGAAGCACCTTTTCGGGTTCACTGCAGTAGGTTGGGATCTTTCGAGGTACAGATTACTCGCTATGTCTTGACAACAGAAGTGCAAACAAGCAATTTGAGGCCGTTACATGTGCGAGTATGGTATCGAAGACCAGAAGTGACCATCGTTGAGCTCCGCATTCGAAAGGCATCGAACCGGAAAATGAGCCCTAACCCGGTAATTGCAGCCCGGCTGCGGAACGAATTTACTGATCCACCCAAAATAGGATTCGCAACTCCTTGGCACTTTAGCTTTGCAGGTTCCGAGTGATGGGAAGTGCAACGGTCAGTGGCTGAGTTACATTGTTTGCTTCGTAGATCAAAACTCCAGCAAGACATAGTTAATGCAGATTTGATCTTAATTTACCTACTCGTATTCCAATCATCGTCGCAGTACGTTTGGATGGCCGGCTTACATTTTCTGGACTCGTTATAGTTGGATTTGTGTCGACTGGACAGGACGAATAGCCGGTCCTATGGCCTCCCGTTTCTTATTACCCGTTTAAGCCCACTCTGGAGCCACTGTTCACACACAAGTACAGCATTGAGAAGGCAAATAACAGGTACCGATTCGTAGTGATCGTAGCTAATGAAAGTAAGGTATCTGACAAGACGGCAATGGAGTAGGCGGTCGTGATATGGTGCCGCTGAGTTATCCCTTAGATTACCTATGGGCATGATTTTCTTCTTGAGCTCCAAGACATGCACGAGAGTCAGGAAGTGACTGGTCAATAATTGCGAAGATCACAAACAGTAGCGATCAATTTGTGTTCACCAGAAACAGTGGTGATGATCTGTCGGGAGTCAAGTCATATGCGACTAAATGGGACCAACTGGAAAGCTGACCAACAAGGTGCACTGAAATTCGTCTCAGTGATATTTTAAGCAATGAAAAAACATATGGATCCGTTCCAGCAAGCACTATTATTCAGAGTGCAAAATATAGTCGCTTGTCCCCGAATGCTATTGTTCTTTTGATTAGACCAAGCCCGTGGACCTAGGAAGCAGACACGGCTAAATGCATATTTTTTTATGCTTTTGCATAATGGGATTTCGAGTGAGTATTATTTCGTTTCGCACGTTCTCGCGTGTGCACATAGGTCCTTCTGGATTTTGTCACTAACAGTCTGCGTATACACTACATTTTTCTCACTGCCATTCTCTCTCGGCCACAAATAAATCAGTGGTACGAAATGTAACAGCCATTTCCTATCACTTAACCCTCAAATAGTTCATTCCTCTGAGGACTGCTATCAGTTAAGTGATATGTTTATAACGTCCACGTCTGGTTGGTGCAGCATGAACGCAAACTTTTAGCTTTTGCGGACTATTATGCCCAGACGAAATCAGGACGCACGACTGTGTAGTAAGATAGTTATTCTGATGGAAGGTAGGGACAGTTGCAAACCAAAGGGGAAACGTAGTTCCCGAGTAAGCTGTGTGAATCACGCACGCGCTAAAATAAGTTCACCAGCCGATAACTACGGTAACAGACTTAGGAACAACAGTACACACGCACACGCGCCACAAGCGACTGACACAGTGTATCACTCCTTTCCTCCAGCATAAGCTTTCTGACTTGGAAGCGATCCACTGGTCGGCGTTGGCGGTGCTTTGGAGCCAGCCATGTGTAAATCGATCAGCGTCGGCATTCGCACTTCCAACTTGTCGAGGTTGACGGTCTTGGTCGCAAGTGGCTTCGCACAATCCTGTCAGCTTAATTTTCTGCTTCTGCGACTTCCCGCTTGTCTGTTTCAGTGTTGGCTGGTTGCCCCCGAAGTCTGTAGGTTAATATACGTGGGTTCGGATTATACTACTGATCTATCTCTACCCCAGGTACTTTTGCCCGTTCTTATGTTTCACAAACTTCCGACCCAAGCATCTGGTGCAATAAATCCAACTGTTTACGCAGCCGACTAATTCCGGGGGGCATCTACCGGTGGTTTCGTATGCCATCTGTCGGCAAGCGAAAAGCGCACAGTCTAGACGCACTGTGGATTTGCTGGTTGCTTCAGTAACATATTCTTCATCATTTTCGCACTTGTCAACCAAACCGTTTGACAAGTAGTGTTAAGGTGCGGTAGTTACGCGTCCACTGGCATTTGAGGTAAGGAAAACAGTAAATCCGTGACTAATGAGTACTGTCCCATTATTCACCACTTGTGGAATGATATATCTAGTTCATCGTGATTAGATTATAAGCCAGATATGCCGAGTACTAATACGGAAAAGCACTAGACGGTCGTTTCTTCCCTTTGGGACGAGGCAGTGGTGCGCGTTCCCTTGGTACCCGTGACCGCCAGTGGCAGGTACCACTAGTCAGCAGTATATGCCAATAAAATAAACTATGAACAAGGAATTCCTCGGGTTGAGAAGCATGGCTTTACAAGTCCCGTTAGGTAGTTTGGTGGGATTATCGAAAAATAATAATAAAACAGTTAATACTTTAAGTATGAAGAGAATGACTTAACGTCTGTTCCGCTGTAGTTCTGCAACCCACGTAGTTTCACAATACCCCAAGTAACAGCAAATAAATCCGTTATATTCCAGGAATGGGATAAATAGTACTTATTAAAAAATCTGAGCGGATGAGTGTGTCACCCAACCGCCTTTTAAACATTGTTAGTGTCGATGCAGAGAAGACCGATTTAGAGATAGCATTCCACGGATGACATACCCGAATGGCAAACTAATTCCTGCGGCACTCCAGACGGCTCTACTGTTCTGCGAGTTTTAATAAGTGACTTCTCAGGATCGTATTACTGCTGGGTTGCTGTAAGGTGTGGCACACATAATCTAGGTCGTAAAGGCTCAAGTATGCCATTATCACATCACCTCGTGATCTGTGACGTCGTCCGCTGAATAGTCCCAAATCGTTTCACTCTCTGCTTCTATGGGAGATTGCGCCTTCCAGTGACGTATTTAGAGGCCC